GCTATAAATTGGGACCTTGAATGTGCACTTAGAAGTTTGAAGCTAGAAACTTACACTTTTGTTTGTTAGCAGTTTTGCTGTTATTTGTCCTGTGTGCTTTTGTATAGTTGTAGCCATTTTCTTGTGAGTGAATAATGATAGCTACAGTCAATTTTTAGAATCAAAATTTAAGACGAATTTACGATAATTATTATATATGGTATAAGCCCTACATAAACTAATACAAGCAATTATTGAAATAATTTTGTTCAAAAAATTATTACTTTTTTCTCATAAGCTGCTTAATTCATTATAGTTTAAGATGAATAAAATTTCCATTGGAATAAAAATATTGTACATTGGGGTGAAGTTATTGTCATATCTTAGAATATTATTAATATTATTGCTTCTAAAGGGTGGTTTAACTTCTATAAATTTGAGATTTCAAGTTAAAAATTTAATTTTTGAATGTTGAATTAGGTGATGAAGAACTAAAAAAAGAAAAAAGAAAATTATTCTCTTTTATATAATTTATTATTAAATATTAAAAAAATTAAGACCACTCTAAATATTATTCCTTTAATTAAATAGTTTTTGCCATTTTCTCTTCTCAAAAGGGGGGACCTTAACGCTCTCGAGCAAGAAAATAAGAACCAATAACTATTTCTTTCGTTTTCTTCTCCCCTGTAACCAAATTCTTTGTATCTAAAATTTAAAAACTCGTTAATAGTAGTAAATCTTATAAATATTTAAAGCAATTGATTTTTTATGCTCGTTCAAAATATTGACTTTTTTTCTAAAAAATCCTCAAATCTATTTTTCATCAAAAGGGCACAGCTTATCCCATATTTAAACCATTTATCTCTTTATCACAATTTTCACTTATAAAATGAGTAAAAAAGTTAGTGTTTATTAGTTAAATCTATAAAACATTATATGAAAAAAATTAAAATTATTTGTGTTTCAATAAAAAAAAATAAAAATATTAATCAACATATTTTCAAAGTAGGAATACAAACAATTTTATTTATTTTTCATAATAATTTATTAAAACAATGAAATTAATTTAGCAATGCTTAATTTTCTATTTTTCATGGGATTTGTTGATGATAAACTTTTTTTTTTTCTATATGCTATCAAATTACAAGTTTAAAAAATAAAAAAATTAATTATTAATTATACGTAGAATTGTAAGAAAAAAAAATTATCATTTTCACATTATTGAAAGTTTGTTAATATGCCTAATGATGAAGTTAAAGCCATTTCTCCATTTCAATTTCATGTAGGGGTGGGCAAATCTTGGTTTTGGATTTAACCAAAACCGTGATTTGATTAACCAAAAATTTTGGTTAAGGTTTTTAAGACCAAAACCAATACCAAAATATATATTATTTCTTGGTTTGGTTACCCAAATTTTCAGTTCTTATAAGTTTGGTTTCAATTTTAACCAATAATTATTAAATATAAAAATAAGATTAAAAAAAGTAAATAAATGAGAATAAGACATGAAATTTTTTTTTTAACTTTTAAATATATTTAAATTCAAAACCTATATTAATAAAATTTATAGAGTAATATTTAAAAAAGTGATTGAATATGAGGAATTATATATATATAGAATATTCAAATAATAATTACTTATTTATAATATAAAAAATTATTTTTCAGTTATATATTCGGTTTTTGATTATAT